GAGCAGAAGGAGAAAATAAAATCTTTGACATTTTCTAGTCCTGGTTCAGCACACAGCTTGCTGTTATGATGCACAATATGTTTATGACCTTAATCAACCATTAAACTCCTTAAACTTTACGCCATTTCTGGGAACAGGAATTTCAATCTGATACCATTTTATTATAAAATAACCTATGACTTTGAAACATTGTGGAAGTAGTAGTCCTTGCAACACCTCTAACAGCTTCTAAACTATTTTGGGTCAAAATATGAAAACAATTTAATTTTTATTGTGGGGCAATCTTAAAAGTTTTTTTCAGAGTCTAAACTATATTTTGCTACATCAGACATTAATGGAAATAAACGAAGTTTTTGAGAGTAGGGTTAATTTTTTTTGGATACTCTGGTAAAATAAGCTATTTAAAAATAAATAGTGTGTGGGTGGAATATTTAAATATACATATAATTTTAGGAAATATGTGTTCACATATGAGGTAAGAGAAGAAGCATGCACATGATACACCACTGTGGCTTCGAATTATATTTTCTTCTGTTTTCCAAGAAATTCCCATGCTGTTTTCTGCTTTCTTTGTGTTTGATTAGATACATAAAGATTCCATGACAATCTTGTGTTGTAAAATGCTTAGGTAAATCAAATTTTTTAACCAATATATTTCTGTCTGCAATTGTATGGTCTAAAGTTTCACAGATTTTATGTAACGCATTTAAAGTTTTTTCTTCTCTTATGTGAGAAATTATAAAATATAGTCACAAAGTATAGCATTCATATGTGGATTTTTTTTTTTTTTTTGTCATTCCCTTCATCTAGGAAATACATTGTTCCTGTTGTGTACTGTGAATTTCCTAGTTCAAAGAACAAAACTTCAGGTAGATATCCATAAAAAAACTTTGCAGTAAACAATACAATATGTTTTTAGCTGCATTGATACTGAGCAGAGGAAGAATTCTTGGTGTAGAAGAAGTAGTGCTGGAGTGTAACTATATCTCAGGATATATCTTGGAAACTTAGATATATATCTGGGAAACTTAGTGATGCTGTAAGTAAGACTTCAACTTGTAGACCTCTGATTATCTTGTAGACTTTCCTGTTTTTTGTCAAATAAATAAAATGTCACTTCTATCTTTTGCAATTCACTTTTAGAGTTACAGACAATAAAAATATACTTGACCTTATCTAACTATCACTAATGAGGTAAATACAATGTTGTCTCAAAGCAGTATTGTTCTACATAGATTCTAAAGTAGAGCAAAATTCTACATACAGAAAAATAAAAGCAGCTACATAATAGGCTGCAACCAGGAATTTAATACTATAGTTGATATAGGTAATTGTGTTTGCCTTTGAACTCTTTAATGATCTTAAAAGTCAATGTAATTGTACACTTTAAAGTATATTTATTTCTTTTTTCAGAATGACAAACTACTACTTTTCTTTATGTCATACAAGAGTACTTGTCCATAAAAATAAGACACTGCCATTTTATATTTCATAACATGCTTTCATCCAAAATCTCTAAAAAGAAAAAAGGACAGTCCCAGCACCTGAAGGGTAAATAAGATAAAATAACTGAGGAAAGACCTTAACTTTAAAGGGTAATTCCCCTTTCAAAACAACAAAGAAAATAACAAGTAAAAAGGAAGCAATTCCCCCCCCCCCCTTAATTCTTAGGGAGAAGGAGAGGTTTCAGTTGGTATCATCAAATTTCCTGTGTCCTGCAGTGATTGTATTAACCCAGCCACCAGAACTAGTAGGCTTAGGAAGGCCTGTGCTTTGTCTTAGTGGAGATATAACTTAATAGAGTAAGTACACTAAGTTTATTGTTTTGAATAAAAAATGCAAGTCAGAATGTCCACTGTTTAACTCTGTTGAATTCAGTAGACTTTACACTGGTCAAAGCAAAGTAAGGCACCTTGCCTTAAATCTTCTTCAAATGGGTTAACTTTATGTGGATTTCTTTAGTAGCACTCTTAAAACCATATGCTTTTCAAGGTGCTTGGAAATCTCAATTTAAAATAAGCCTATTCAATTGTCATATGGTGGAAGGAAAGAGGTGTTCGCATTTCACTGTAAGATGGCAGTGGTTGTAATGTTTGACATACATACATGCTTTTGAAGGAGGACTTGTGGCCTCTAGTTAGATACTGGAGCTCTTCAGAAAGTTAAACAAATAAGTAAAATGGGAAGTATTTTTAAAAGGTCTTTCTTATTAATTTACTCAAATGATTTCATAACCTTTCCAGGACAGCAAAAATATTTCTTATATTTTACACTATTTAGTCCATAGAATATACTTTATGACATCAGACTATGCAATATAAATAACACTCAAAGAAAGAACCTGAATTAGATTATAAACTGTGAAAATCTATAGTCATGGTAATTTATGGAGAACATTCTATAGTGTGTATATTATGCAGACCATATGTATATATTATAGTAACAACTGTCATCAAACGTAAGGGATTTCCACCTTTCTTTCTTACTGCAATAATATAATCAATAGGTAAGCATATATAATGTAACAACAAATATACTCGATTATTTTATAATTGTGCAACAGAAAACATATATGCAAGAGGTTTTATGGCATTAAAGCATATTTTGTTCCATAGAAAACACACAAAAATACCCCAACCCTAACATAGTTCCATAACAGGGGAGCTTTTTGGTTTTTTACAGATATAGAAGGTGGAAAAGCAGTGGAATTCTGCTGTTTACTCTTAAACCACATTTAAATCTCCTTTGAGTGTTATGTGCTAAAATCAGCATTTTTGACGTCTTAATCCAGATGCATGTATTATCTTCCCACAAACAACAAGGAGATTAATAAAAAACTGTTGTCTCAGCACCTTGCTGATTTAATACCTGCTTAACTCCTGCAGCATAGCTCACTCTCATTAAACTGCGTACACATGGTTCATTTTCTTTTTTTTTTTTAATTTTTTATTGAAAATTTTACATGTATGACTAAAAGTCATGGGCGATATCTTTCAGTTCCATTACAAAATCAGTCTTTTTTATATATATATACACCTATATATATATATTTAATACAACTAGAAGCAAATCTACTGAATTATGAAACAATGATTGTCTACCAAAATGTAAATGAAATTAAATATGTTGCAGATGATTAAAATTATTTTGTTTTTTTCTGGTGGAGCTGAAGGCCACTTTCACATAGTTAATTGATAATGCTGGGCTGCAAAAATTACAAAGCCTTAATGAAAATTTCCCATCTTCCAGCCTGGTGTCACCAATACATTAGGATTTTAGTACAAGGATCCTTCTTTCAGAAAGTAGTGCTTTTGGAGTGACCATCATCCTCTATGGAGTACCTTCTATTCACACACACAGTCCTGCAAACCATTCTGTATGTCCCTCAGTAGTTGCAGGCAAGTCAAGTAATTTCAAGACAGGTAAAAGCAAAAAAGTTTGCAGGAGCAGAGTCTAACTTAGGAACTCATATACACATTATCTAAACCAAAACAATCTGAAATAATACTTAAAAACACTATTTTACTTGAATATATGTCTTATTATCTAGTAATAAATCATGAAAGATGAAGTATAAATATTGTCAGAATCATAAAAAACTTCTCTTACTCTAAGAAATCCTACTTCAAAATCGTACAGTATTTTAACCAACAGCAGTTGTCCTTCTGTTTTGGCACTCCTGAACCAGCATAGAAATTATGTGTAGTGAGTTAACACCTTTGGGGAAAAATACTTATGTGCAGCAGGATCTAAAGATGAGTTAATAGAATTACGTTGCTTAACATAAGAAAGAAATTGAAGAGTCTTTTACTGTGATTCATCAGCAGCAAAAGAGAAGGGGAAGGAGAAAAGCAAGGTGTTTACAGTCTTTGAAGCATATAGCATATTTAACCTTGAAAATTAAATCTTGCATTAAAGACACTCCCAGTTACCTCTGTAGTCTTCTTTCAAAAAAAAATCAATGTACAAATATTTTATTTAAATGTCTCAGACTTTGTAATGGCTCAGAAGAACAACTGCTTGTCCTTGTAGCTGCTCTCCTTTCTCAGAGATGAACGATGGGCGAGATTGCTTTACTGTAATTTCTCCATTTCCATGCTTCATTTCCTACATTTATCTGAGACTGGAGAAAAATCAGCATGTTCTGACAAATCTAATACCACGAGGCAGTAAAATGGACCTGAATTTAGTGGAGATTGGAGCTCCAAAATAAATATAACACTTTATGTCAAATAATAAAAAAGGATAAATTCTCCTGTATAAATCAGAAGAGATAATAAAAAATAGCAAATAGATAGCAACATCTTTTCTATACCTACATGGGCATCACAAAACTTTTCAACCATTAGAATATCCCTCCTAATTTCTCATTTTATGTGGTTTGTAAACTACTTCAGTAGGTTGATGACATTGTGGAATTTCTTAGTACAAACAGTAATTTTTCATAAAATTACCAGAAAATTAAAGACACTTCTAATTAAATAGCTCTGAGAACAAACAGGGAGAAGAAGAAAAAAAAAAAACCTCTGCTGGGCTTTTGTTGTTTTCATGTCTGTCCATCTGCTTTCGGTCTAGCAAGCTGCATGCAACACTGTAAAGAAAATTTGTTAAAAAACCCTTGCATCTGTAAACACTATATATTGTAATTTTGTGTTGAATGATATATTAAATTTGTAAATTTGTTTCTTCTTACACTTATCTCATACCAGAGACGGTGTGTTCTAGATATAGCAGTACTGCAAAGGCATCTACAGAGTATCATTGGCTCATTGAGGTCACAGTGCATAACATACTCTTGAAAGTGAGTTGCCTCTGCAGGTATCTGAGGGTTGCTATCTATTTGAACGTGGCTGAGCATTTCATTTTATCAAAAATGCCACCAAATGCTCATATTCTGTGTGGTCAGTGCAGTCCCTAGGACGAGTCTAATGAAGATATGTTCCACCAAGGCAAAAAAACCTAAAAGGTTAAAAATGGAGAAATATTTACAACTTTCTTCAGTCTGTAAGGTTGGGGTTTCTGTTTTAGTATTCATCAGTGCATTTTCAGAGAAAGGTTCCAAGGCTATGAGTATAAGCAGTCTGGTCCAGTCCCATACATATCCGCAAGCCTTTTAAAGCGAGGGCCCCAGTCACTGAGGTAATCGTAGTTCTGGTCAGAGTTTGAGCTGATCGAATCTAAAGAACTGAGTGACTCCGCCACCGAGCCATTTCCCTCAAACGCGTATGTCTGCAGGGAGTCGTAGGGTGGCGCGCAGGGGTCCACATCAGCTTCTTTTAGTCTTTCCCAGATAAATTCCCTAAAAATGACATTATCTGGGATGCTTTTAAAAGTCGGTCTGCTCAAGAACTGAATCTCAGGTGTCACATCCCTTCTGGCCTTGGTGTCTCGGATAATGTTGAGGTTTCTCAAGGCAGCCATGTCAAAAGCCTCGGTGTCTTCTTCTCCACCACCCTCATCATCATACCTGACGATGTTCTCTCTGATATCTCTCTCTTCATCAAAAATGAGGGGCTCTTTTTTCCGTCGCCTCATGGTGACAATCAGCAAGACAAGAACTGGAACACAGAAATACTGGAATTTTAGCAATGCTAAAGTTTCCTCATATTTTTTCTAGTAGTGGAAGTACTCATTAATTTATATGGCAAAGACCCAAGGACATAGCAGGCAATTTATGCAGTTAGATTTGAAACCTAGCAGGTTCTGAAACACCTTTTAAACCATAAGCTTTTTAGATGTTAAAGAATCTATTTCCAAAACCATGCTGGATTAACATCTTCATCTCTAATTCTATATCCTATGCTGTCCGCTAAACATAAATTTTAGGACTGGTTCAGTCTGACTATTACAATCTCACAGACGTGAAATAAAAAAGGACCTTTTCCTGAACTCTTAATTGCCCAAGCAATAAAAGCACATCCATAAAGTAACTGAATAGAATTTAACAACCGTAGTTTAGGAAGTGACTGAATTAAAGTATATGGCCAATCTCTGCTAAAAAAAAAAAAAAAAATAAAATTAAAAAAATCATATATTTGAGAACATTGAATTGTTAAGCAATGTGTAAAATAAGACTGTCTTAGTTCATGGATTAAAAGTATCTCTATATAAGACCTCACTTTCCTGTAAAGTGCAAAGTACTGTACTTGAGGTTTATGAATTACATCTAATGAGAACTGCTAGGGTTGGAGTTTATTGGATCAGCCAGTTCTGGAAATGTATTTATTTTTTAAATTTTAATCCTTAAAGTTTCTTTCAGCTTGAAAGCTAATACTAAACTGCAGTGACAGCCAAAAAAAATGGGAGAAACTAACTCAAGGCTCCTCTTGTTCCAATACAGTTTTGCTAGAGAAACATGATTGCTGACACACAAAATATGGAACCAGCAATATGAATATTGCACCCATCTGTGGGACATGATGGAGTGTGAATCATCTTCCTAGAAAATGATTAATACTATATTGTAGCATCTGGATAACATTTGCTGAGTTAATGATACTCCTAGAAAATAGCAAGCATCACTATGACTGTAAAAATAACAGTACGTTGAAAAGTGTCATTCCACATTCAGTTAATCTCTTCTGATTTTATGTTTATTTTTAATATTAAGAATATGTGATTATATGCATTCATATGTCTAGGGTTTACAATCTTTACTTACAGTACTTTGATAAACCAACTAAACGCTGTATAAACATCTGGAAAACCAAATCCTGATATAGATAAAATTAAGCTTGAGCTTCCCTAGGTAGTCTCAAAAGTGGCCTCCATAAATTGTATGATGTAGGACTGCCATTCTTGAAAGTCCTTTTCATGGAGGAATTTTTAAAATCAATATCAGTTTAGTCATCATGAGGGATGATTGAATATTGGGATCACTTGGTTAGAATAAAACAGTCATTCATATACTGTACATGCAGAAAGCTGTATCATACATCTACAGATGTTATGGTACTGTTTGGAATTGGCTAAAGCATAAGATGACTTTAAAGGTGAACTTTCTGAAATTCTTTTTATTTTCCTTTGGAACCACATATGTCTAAAAATAAAACTGGATCAAATTCAATTTTTTCTAAGCTTTTTGACAAATATATTAGGCAATATTTTTTTCCCTTTTTTTCAGTAGCTACAAGGCACACGTCTAATGATTCAACTACTAACAGATGCCTTGTGACTCTATATTATTGCAGCATCAGCATCACACTCTCACTTTTTTGCCCCTGGCATCTCCCTGATTCATGCTTTATGTATTGAATTCAGAAGCCACTAGTTTGGGGCATTTTGCTTTGAACAATATTTACATAAGCAGTTTGACAATATAAGATTTTGACCTTTAAAGTGGCTTTTGTGAAATTTCAGAACAATCTGATATTTGTATAATACAAATTGAGCTGTAAATTATACAACAGAGAACATAAAATTGTCATCATAGAGACAATTGCACTCCACTCTTAATGTTTTTCCTTATTATAAAAGATATTTTAAAGTGAAAGACAAATTAGCTTGCTGAGAATACAAATACACATTTAAGCCAAGATTGCTATTGACATAATTTTTTAATTATTTTTTTTTAACATTTACTGCCACAATTCTTATTGCCATATAAGTAAGCAGCTAACCATTTCCTTTACTCAAGTGTAAATGCAGTTTCACACCACTGTCCCTCTTAACAGACTTCATTTCGAAAGTTAAATACCTGCTAATAAGTGAAAAATATGAAACTTAGTAGGCAGGTCCGCCTAAAGGTACAATAAAAGTCAAGATACAATGAATATTTTATACAGTATTCGTTGTACATCTCACACTTGCTTGAAGCCAAGAAAAATACGGAGTCTTTCTAAAGGTTAAATATTTTAGCATTTAGATGGCTTTATGAGATATTATTAATTTCTAGCCTTTGCAACAGCTATGAAGAATAAAGTTTAACCTCTAAATGACCAAAGTCCAATGACCAGGAACTGCAGAGATGAATACAAGCCCAAAACACATATCTAATATCCACTGATATCTAAATCAAGCACAAATGGTTGTAAAGCTTATCCATTTCTCATTAAGTCATGGTGGATTTTTTTTTCCTGCATTTATCACAAAAGCAGAGTTCAAGTCAGTAATTAGTGACTGGTTAAAAATCTAGAAAACCTAATTTTATGCTTTTTAGAGAAGAATTAATACAGTGCAAAAGCTATAGGGACACATGTATTGCACATTGAGACCACTAGTTTGACTCCCTACTGGCACACCAAACTCATGCTAAAGAGATGAAACAGCAATACTGATTTGGTATGTGATTTAACAAATAAATAAACCAATCAATATTATAAGTAGCTAATTATCAACACTAAAGAAGCAGACCTAATAAAGATAGATCTAAAATAACCATTTTGTTCTGATTTACCTGAATTGTTAGAAATGTTGATTTTGTTTAACAGGTACAATAGCCAAGAGAAAATGTCATTTGTATTTTTATTATCTGTGATAATATCCTTGTGTCAGTATAGATGGAATGATAATATCAGTAGTTTCAGTTCACTTAAATCAGTCTTTAAACAAACACCTTTGAATACAAGAGTGTTTTTTTTTTTCTTTGCCATTTTGCAGTATGCTTTATGAAATTATTATGAAATTTCCATTTTGGTATGATCTGGTAAAAAGTCAGGTTTAGGTCACCTGACCATATTTCTCTGTTTTAGTATGAATCTTTCCTTTTGTACTCAAGGCAACTGCAACATAATTGTAAGGAAGCCATAAAAGCCTTGAGACAACCTGAGGGAGAAGCCTACATGCAGAGCTATACAGTAAGGGACAGAGCTAAATCACAAGCATTATCGTGCCTTGTATACGCTATACCCCTAAGCCTGGCATTTACTATAGCAATAAGCCACATCAGCTGCGAGCAAATCTGCACATTGGTTTATGCCTTAGGTGTGTCACTATTCATAAAGCTGAAGGCTGGAGATCCTCAGCCATCTAAGCAGCACACTAATAACCGATGTAGTTATACCTTACAGATGCTAGTACAGTCAGATGAGATTTGGGGATTATGGAGGCCAAGACTCAGGAAACCTGCATTTAATTCCCACTTAACAAGTTTCATATATAACTGTTGGTTAATCAGTTTGGAATGATATTTGCAAAGTGACTGTAACCTTTAAAGAAAAAATCCTTAAAAAAAAGCGCACACTGAGTGACCCTAATAGGCTCTATAACTTTCAGTAAACAGCTTCTGTGTTGTATACTCAACCACCCTTTAAATGACTTAATTTGGATACCCCCAAATTAAATCAGATATAGATTTATCACTTTTAAAACTGTAAGACAAAATCCACACATTCTACATTGTCACAATCTGTACACATTTTACCTGTTTAGAAAATAAGATCCTTATGACTAGGACTATTTCTTCTTGTTTATGAATCACACAATTATGTGTGATTTAATTGGGTTCTTGTAGGTATTATGATAATAATAACAAATTCTCCATCTTTCAAATGAAAAAATAATAATTTAAATCTGTATTTTGAAGTTTAATCAATTTATTATTAACTTGTAAACTCTAGTACCACACTAATAGGAGGCTTTCATTAGTGTTTCTAAGAAAACAGGTGGTTCAAATAGATTATATTCAGAAGTATAGAAGATTAAAATCATGAAAAAGCATTATGTCATTCTAGCTTTCTTTGTTTCAATACAAAGAAAATCTTTAACTTCTCAAATATGATTGGGTTATCTACAGGTGAATGTTATTTTCTGTGAGAATTTATGTACACATTTTATGCTAAACACTTGTTACAAAAGCAATTATTGCATCTGGAAGATGCTAACTGAAAAAACAAATTACCTTGAATTAAATTACCATGTAATTTTCAGAGGAGTTCAAAAATTCCTACTTACTTCTCTAAAAATTATGTACAGTCTAAAATGAATACAAACTACATTTTCATATGTGTTTTTATAGAATAAATTGCAAGCGCTTTTTTTTAAGGGTTTTTTCTTTAAAACATAGCCTCACTGCAGAGTGAATAACTATAAAGCTTTTTTGAGTAATTAACAAAGTACTGGAACTTTCCTGTGGAATAAAATTTAGAATTTAATCTCCATCAGTCAATAAGAGGAAGGAAAAATATTTTGGTAAAATGCTTTTACCTTTTAAAAATTACTTTACTTTGAAAAAATAGACTACACTGTTATATGCAATTATAATGAATTAGTGTGATTTAGTAACATTCTTCCTTCTTAGCGTCAGTGAAAACATTGTGCTTATGTAAAACTGATCGGTTGCTTAAGTAAAAATAATAATACTAAGAAATCCCACTGAGACAATCTGAACCTTGGTCAAGGCAAATGGTTATTTCTTAGACAAAGGGTTGTATTGGGCAAGAACAAATATCAAAATACATCATACTACCTTTAAGAAGTCAGAGCTTGTTGAGAATTCGAGATAGTAGTGCCAGAATGCATGTATTTATAACGTTTATGCAAATCTCATCCCTCCTCCACTTTACAACTGGCACTCACATTGAGATGACACTGATGAATGTGACTGGATTTGCACTGCTTGTTAATCTTGGGTCAGATAAAATATTTGATCCATTAGCCTGTCCCCTCTTTTCACTGACAAACTCTTACACAAAAAGGTGCATCCCTTCGTTCCAGCCCTGGAATCACTTGCCAACAGCTGAAGCCTATTTTTATGCTGTGCTAGTGGATCTTCAGGATTTTGTCTCAGGAATGGATGTGAAAATAAAAAA